AGAAGCGAAGGGAAAGCACCGCACCAGTTCCTCCTCTGTTTCACACTTCCGAGAGAGTGTCCCTGCAGGAGGTAGCCGGGACAGCCCCAGTGCGGCCAGTGTTTTGATCCGAAACCCCTCCCATCGGGCTGCTCCTCCCTTTGCCCCAACAGTGCTAGGCGGCTTCTGAAGTCCGCAGTATCTGGGCTCTGGGGCTTCCTCTGAACGGTGGGCGCTCGCTTGAGTGGTGAAAAGTGCCTTGTTTCAAAATTGCCAATATCTAAGAAATACGTGACACTCTTTGAGTCTGCGAAGAGCAGAGACCAGGCTTCAGCCTCCAGGACCCAGGTAGCAGGGCCTACAGGTGGGATCAGACCCTCAGGTTCTGACAAGTGTGGGGTCCGACTCCCTCCACCTGTATGTATACAACCACCGTGCACTTAGGTCGACATTTTCCGGGACAAAACCCCATTCCCTAAACCTCGGAAAGTAGGGTTCAACACGAGAGGCGGGAGGTAGCCCACTGTCGTGTCAAACACTAACTTTTCCCTGCGCCCCACTGGAAGGAGAAAGGCAGACCAAATGGGCAGCTGCTGTCAGGCTCGTCCTTGCCTGGGACTGGTACACCCGGGACAGGTACAGTGCGGGCTCTTTCATAGAGCCTCTCCCACTTTTCCTCACTCCAGCCAATGAGTTCACTTCCTGAGCTTGGGACAGGGGAGCTACTAGAGGAAATGTGAAGTGAGGCCTGCCAAAAGAGGAGGAGAAAATTAATTAATGAGGGAAAGAAATGTGTCTGTGATCCAGATGATAGACTCCCTGTCCCTGGGGGCGGAAATTCCTTGGAAATCAATAGCTGTGCATTCATTATCCCTCTCTTGATAAAATGTAAAGCTATGAGATGGTGTGTGGGGGAGGAGGGAGATCTGTGTGGGTCATTAAACAAGAAGGTGGGGGGAAATTGCCCAGGAATCTATGCCAAGGCTTAGACCCCATGTGGGCATCATTAGCACAGGCAAGGGCCAACTAGTTACAGCAGTTGCCAAGCCAGGAAAACAAAGCAGTGACATATGGGTGAGCTGAGTCCAGGCTGGAAACCCTTTCCTTTAACCCATCATAAGTAAAAATCCACCAGTGTGCCTCACTCTTTAGACTGGAGTTGAGGTCCAGGAATATGCCAGATAACTTTTCAAGCATCACTTTGCATTTCTGTTCAACTCCCTCTCATCACATCTATTAACTTGTACTTTAAATGCCTTTCTTCTGTAGCTTCCTCATGCTCATGGACTGTCACCTCCTGGAGGACAGGTACCCTTAATTTTATACCTCTTATCTCTAATGTCTTGCCTAGACTAAGGTTCAGCAAGAATTTGAGGAAGGTAAGGTGGCAGGTAAATGAGGGAAGGTGAAACAATTGGTCTCAGAAAAACAACAGGCTGGAATAAAAAATTTACATCTCTGGGGCACACCTCTCCTGCCCAGTCTCCAGCTCCTTTATTTTGGTGGGGCATACTGGGGATTGAACTCAAGGACACTGAGTCACTGCTCCAACTCCTTTTGAAAGAGACCCAATCAAGGAGCTTCTCACAAACCCCAATCAGCCCGTGCTTGTTGAACTCTCCCTGCCTTTTCTTCCTCGTTTTCCCCAACTGACCTCTCTTCCTTCCTAAACACGTTTATTGCTTGATAGAACTCTTTTACAGCTGCCTTGGTGGAAAAACACATGTGACCAGGTGGGCTTCCGATCCATGGGAGAAGGAAAAGAAAGGATTGTACCCAGTCCTCATATTTCCCCTCAAAAAGAGGGGATAGGTCTGGCCTCACCCAAAGGTGGGAAGGTACTCCAGTTGTCCTGAGCGAAGTGAGTTAGGAAAGGAGTGGTAGTGGGATGGTGAACTCCAAAGGCCTCCCAGGGTCAGAGGGGTAAATCAAGGTTCACCTGGGGGTATTTAGGGACTCCCTATCTGTGGACCCACCTGGCCACAAACCCATGCTTGTTTGCTTTTCTGTCTGCCCTGTACCCTTCAGGGTCCCTAAAGGCCAACTTTTCTGGGGTGGGGTGAGGGGTGGGGGTTGGGGCAGGGGGGGATGAATGTGGGGTGGGGTGGGGTGGAAAGCGTGCTGCAGGAACCAGCCCCCAGTCAGGGGTAGGGAGGGGCCCTTTCTTACCCACCACAGGAAAGTACTGGGATCTATCAGGACGGATGTCAGGAAAGATTAGGTTAAAGTCTGGACACCTGGAGTGACTATGACCATTGGACTCACTTTTTCCCTCCAGCTATGTCTGCTCATTGTCCATGCCCTGTTAAGATAAAGTTGCATTTAGCGCTCCTAGGGGACTGCATAATGGATGGAGCAGTGGCTCTTCTCACACCAGCAAGTGAACATTCTTCTTACTTCCCTTGTGGGCTAGAAGGAAGGTAGGGGGTGGGAGGACTGAAAATAAAAGAAAGAAAAAGCCATGGTGACTTCTATGGGCTCTTCTTGGACTCTGAATAGGTGAGTGGGTATGCTAATGCAAGGAAAGAAAATCCACAGAAATGCTAATTTAGGTCTACAGAAATGAGATCTGCTCTTTGGTGGAAATACAGACCTCCTTGGTGTGTGAGAGAGTTGAAAGATTATTTATCTAGTTTCCCATAAGTAGCCCCTTGCTGCTTCCAGTTCTCTTGTGGCATATATGATAACATCTGGGCAGTTATTATCACCTCGGGCAAGTGCTGTGTCCCCAGGGACTTGGACACCTGAACTGCAGCTCCTCTTGATCTGCCTGCCACATGAGGGCCATATAACAGGTTGGCTAATTGATTTATTCTTCATAGGTCTTGATTTTGCAGTAAGAAGAAGAAAAGCTGCACCAGAGATTGCATCTTTTCTTTCAGATTGATTTGAATTAATAGTTTGAATCATGCTTTCCTATAAGTTAGCTTTCTTCTGTCTCCTATTGAAGAAAAATATATAAGAGGCAAAGAAACAAAAGGATGAAAAAGAAAGTTCTTTTTTTTCACATGTAATCCCTTTTCTCTGAAGCACTTTTCTTTTCCAGGAGTTTCCAGCATAAAATGTGAGTGAATGAGTGTGTGCGAGTGTGTGTGTGTGTGTGTGTGTGAGAGAGAGAGAGAGAGAGAGAGAGAGAGAGAGAGAGAGAGAGAAGGGAGAAGAGAGAAGAGGAAAAGATCCCAAGTACACCCTGTTAACTACTTTCTCCTTTTGATTACTAGGAGCCTCAGATCACTAGGAGCTCCTTTGAAACGTAGGTTTGTACACGGTTAAAGGAGACAAACAATAAGAGAAACGCACAATTTCAACAGCCTTTCGGAGGAGAAAGCACATGCTCCTAGTGGCTAAGTGGCTGTCACTGGTGGTGCCTGACACAGTTATATTCACAACAACAACAACAACAACAAAGTATGCGGAAGAAATTAAATTATGTGAAAATCAATAGCGTCTGACTGCTTCAAACAAATGTCTGTCACCGCGACTGTTCTCTAGGTACCTATTTATAAACCTTGAAAGAAACAGTTTCTTGCAGCAAAAGACAGCACCTTCCACATTTCTGTGCTGTTATTTTTCCCTGTGTACAGAAGAATGCGCGGGCATAATTTAACATACAAATGCCCAGCTGTATACATTATATAACAGCTTGTTAGGCATCCTGGAGAGGTGTACCTAAGTAATGCGCATATATTCAGGACTTGCAAGGGGAGAGGAAAAACCCACAGAGGGGCGTGCGTGCATCTCCTCTTCCTCCTAAAAGGTGGCTATCCTTAGACAATAGCTGGCCTTTCTGATCTTTCCAGACCCTCGATGGAAAGGTGAGGCGTGCAGTGCGCATGCCCCGGTAGCTACAGGTGCATCACCTGCGCTGTCCTTGCTGGTGGTCACTATAAGAGCGGCTCCCACGCGTCGATAGCGGTTCGACGAGCGCGCGCTCGTGCAGACGCACGGCGCCGCCGAAAGGGAGAGCGCGCGCTAGACAGACAGCTGATGCCTGTCAACGCGGCGGGGCCGCAAGCTCTCGCGAGAGCTCCCCGGGCCGGTCGCGAGAAGTGGGGCTCAGGTGTAAGAAGAGTGCATCCCGTCGGCGCGCCAGGCTAGAGCTCTCGGAGAAGCGGCACCGCGAGGCCGGCGCGCGGCGCTCTGCGCGGTCAGGGGAGAGCCGGGCGGCAGCAGGAGCAGCAGCAGCCTGCGGCGCGGCCGCCGCCAGCCGCAGCTACCGCCGCGGCTGCAGCCTCTGAGGAGAGGCCGGGGGAGCCGGCGAGCACACTTTCCCGCGGACTTTCGGAGTGTTTGTGGATTACATGCCCAGCCGTCAAGATGATGTCCATGAACAGCAAGCAGCCACACTTTGCCATGCATCCCACCCTCCCTGAGCACAAGTATCCGTCGCTGCACTCCAGCTCGGAGGCCATCCGGCGGGCCTGCCTGCCCACGCCGCCGGTAAGCGCCCCGCGCCCGTGGCCCCGGCCCGCGCGCCCGCCCCCTCCCCCTCTCGGAGACTCTGCATGTCGGGTGCTGGTGTGTGCAGGTCCGGGTGCGGGCGATCGCGGGCAGGGGTTTTTAGAGAAATCCCGCTGTGAGGCACGTTTTGTTCAGCGGTGCTTAAGGTTGTGTTCCGGTCTGCCTCTGCCTCTGTATCGACCGCCTGCGACCAGTGGGGAGTTCTGGGGCCGTGACTCTCGACTTCCCTCCACTTTCTCTGCTAATTTCACGCCTCAGAAAGGCGGTCTCTATGCGTGCCCGGGTGTGTGACACTGGTCCCCAGCTGCGAGTTACATTTCCATTTCTTCTTCTTCTTTCCCCCTTCCTTTTTTCGTCTCCCACGCCCGTTCCCGGAATGTGCTCCTGTGTCACCCTTTCTCCCTGCTTCCGTACCCTTCTTTACGCTCCTTTCCCTTCTCGTCTGTTCCCCTGCTTGTGTCCCCCATTCCGTCTTTCCCGTTCTCCACTCTTCCCACCCCCGTCGTTATTTTGGTTGCTTTGTGTTTGCCTTTTGCTTGTTGTGCTTTCCGGCTTGTGTGTGTGTGTATGTGTGTGTGTTTTGTTTTTGCTTTTTTGGTTTTGTGGTTTTTTTGGTTTGGTTTGTGTCGCCTGCAGCTGCAGAGCAACCTCTTCGCCAGCCTGGACGAGACACTGCTGGCGCGGGCCGAGGCGCTGGCGGCCGTGGACATCGCGGTGTCCCAGGGCAAGAGCCACCCTTTCAAGCCGGACGCCACCTACCACACGATGAACAGCGTGCCATGCACGTCCACATCCACCGTGCCGCTGGCGCACCACCACCACCATCACCACCACCACCAGGCATTAGAGCCAGGAGATCTGCTGGACCACATCTCGTCCCCTTCGCTCGCGCTCATGGCTGGAGCTGGCGGCGCGGGCGCTGCGGGTGGTGGTGGAGGCGCCCACGACGGCCCCGGGGGCGGTGGCGGCCCCGGGGGCGGCGGTGGCCCAGGTGGCGGCGGCCCCGGGGGCGGCGGCGGCGGTGGTGGCCCAGGGGGCGGTGGCGGCGGCCCGGGTGGCGGGCTCCTAGGCGGCTCAGCACACCCTCATCCGCACATGCACGGCCTGGGCCACCTGTCGCACCCGGCAGCGGCGGCTGCCATGAACATGCCGTCCGGGCTGCCGCACCCCGGGCTGGTGGCAGCGGCCGCGCACCATGGCGCGGCAGCGGCAGCGGCAGCGGCAGCGGCTGGGCAGGTGGCTGCAGCGTCCGCGGCGGCGGCAGTGGTGGGCGCGGCGGGCCTGGCGTCGATCTGCGACTCGGACACGGACCCGCGCGAGCTCGAAGCCTTTGCTGAACGCTTCAAGCAGAGGCGCATCAAGCTGGGCGTGACGCAGGCGGACGTGGGCTCCGCGCTGGCCAACCTCAAGATCCCGGGCGTGGGATCGCTCAGCCAGAGCACCATCTGCAGGTTCGAGTCGCTCACGCTCTCGCACAACAACATGATTGCGCTCAAGCCCATCCTTCAGGCTTGGCTAGAGGAAGCCGAGGGTGCCCAGCGCGAGAAAATGAACAAGCCTGAGCTCTTCAACGGCGGGGAGAAGAAGCGCAAGCGGACTTCCATCGCCGCGCCAGAGAAGCGCTCCCTCGAGGCCTACTTCGCTGTACAACCCCGGCCCTCTTCTGAGAAGATTGCAGCCATCGCTGAGAAACTGGACCTCAAAAAGAACGTGGTGCGGGTGTGGTTTTGCAACCAGAGACAGAAGCAGAAGCGGATGAAATTCTCCGCCACTTACTGAGGGGGTTGGGTGGTGCCGGGTGGGGCAGAAGGAGAAGCTGAGGGAGCATTTCAGGGGGCTTTCCTCTGACCTGCTTCCCATCACTTTTGAAGTGTCCGTTATCCTGCTTGCAATTGGGGAGTCCTTCCCTGCTCTTTCCTGGGCCCCACTCTATCTCTCTGCCCTTACCTTCCCCCAGCCTAGAAAACAAGAGTGCTGGGTGTAGAGAAAGAAGACAGCAGGGGAGGAGGGAGCATTTAGATGAGCAAGGGAATGGGGGTTAAAAAAAGTTAGGCTGGAGCAGGGGAGTTTTAAGAAGCAGGATGGTTCAGGGGGATGGGGGGGCCACACGGGAAGGGTTGGGAAATGGACTGTTTTTGACCAGAGACACTTATCAAAATCTCCTGGGGACCAAGGAACTATGTACAAAAAAGAAAAAAAAAAAAAAAACTAAAAACAAACAAACAAAAAAAACCCCTACCAACCACCAAAAATTAGACAAATAAAAGAAAACAAAAGCAAAGAAAATGCTTTAAAAATTTAACTCGGAGAGCCATAATCTGCAGCTTCATTTACCCCCAAGGAAGAGAAAAAGAGCACTACCAATATTACCACTGCCCCAACCCTACACACGTGAACTGAGTCAAAAAAGAAAACCAAACGAAAGCAAAGGTGAAATTTGGGGTAGGGAAGCTAGTTATTCTGTCTGTGTGTTTAATTTTTCCCTTTAAGTCTCACCTCCAGCCTGTCCATATCCTCTTTATTTTCCCTGTTCCAAGGAGACTCCAAAGGCTGCACTCCAGGGAAGAGAGTGGGAGCACAGCTCAAAGAGGGTTGAGGTCCAAAGGCTGTTTAGGTGGAATCCAAGTTTCCACACAGTGGCTACACAAAAGTAGATTTATCTATCCCAGATTGGTGAAAGTCTTAGAAAGTGAGAATTACTGTCTTTGAGCTGTCTAAAAGGCAGAATTTAGGGTCTCTGAAGTAAATATTTTATTCTAGTAAAGTAAAACAATTATAGCAAGATTTTTCTCTTTTAATTTTTGTTCCTAAGATCTAGAAAACAGACTATTTCAAAATAAGCTCCCCCAACACACACACTTAGGATACTTTAGCTTGCCCTTTTATTTTTCAGAGTGTGCTTTATTTCAAACTATCTGCTTTTTTTTGGGGGGGGGAGGTCCCCCTCCTATTTATTTAAATAGACTTCGGGGGTAGAAAATATTAGGAAAGATACTTTCATTTTCCATTTTCATCACTGAATAAGGCTCATCTTGCTCTTCTAGGTCCCCTTTCTTCCTCTCTTGGAGAACCTGAAGTCGTTGAAATGTTGAGAAGTTTCTGCTTTCAGTTGGGGCAGGACTTGGCTGTGAGAAAATCACCTAAATCCCAGAAGAGAGGAAAACAGATTTAAAGGTCTTCCCCCAACTCATTTGTTTCCAAAAAGTCTGCATGTTCCCCTGGGGGAAAGCAGAACAACTGTTTCCTTTTTGTTACTATTAACCAAGAGTCATTTATTACTGGGGATAAATGTTGGATAGCAAGAACTTTAATTTGCACTATCAGTTGCTCAAATAGAAAATCGTGTATAGTATTTCATAGTAATAATCAAGGTACCTTCCAAGCTGCTGATGGATTGGGGGGAAAATGAGACAGTTAAAGGTGGTTAGGTAAAATGCCTTTGTGTACAAAATACTCTTTGGATCTCATGTGGAGATGGTTTATTACCATCCTTAAACCATAACTAAATATTACAGAACAAATGAGAAAAGGAAGAAAAAGCCCCTGCCATTTAACAATACTGAAATCATGCATGATCTGAAAGGTGCAGAAAGAAACACAATTAGGTCTCACTCTGGTTAGGCATTATTTATTTAATTACGTTGTATATCATTGTTTGCAGCGCAAACATTCTATGCATTTGAAACTGAGCACTAAACTGGGCTAGCTTTCTGGTAGACCGTTTTGTGGATAGTGTGATTTCACAGTCTACTGCCTGTTTCCACTGAAAACACAACATTCTTGTCATATTCTTGTATTTAGAGGAAAAGGAAAAAAGGAAGATTATTGTAAATATTTTATTTAATGCACACACACACACACACACACACACAGTGGTTACAAACTGCCAGTGTTAATCCTGAAATGTCTCACGGATTGAGCTAACTGTCCATGTATGTCTGCTGAGCTTTCTCCTTGGTTATGTCATTGCTCTCCTACCTGCCTCTTCCCCCACTTCTATCAGAACCATTTTTGTGCGCCAAAATACAACAGGGGGATGTGTCCTAGTACACTTACAAATAAAACATAACTGAAAGAAGAGCAGTTTTATGATTTGGGTGCATTTTTGTGTTTATATTGAGCCAAGTCCTGGCAGTCGTTCAACAAATAATTCAACCAAAAAATTCAACCAACAACAAATAAAGAAATAAAAGTGGGGTGAAGGGGAGGATATCAAAAGGGGGGTCAAAAGAAGAGAAAGGGTGAGAATGATGTTTGCATTTTTCTTTCTTTTTTTCCCCCCTTTTTTCTCTCCCTCCCACCCCGCCCCGGAATGAGAATTCACTTTCAGATAATTCATGTGAAAAGTGGTGCTCTGAATAAAATGAATTCTATATTAATTGCCTGTGTTTATCAAAGTTTTTCTTTGAACTGAAGAAACTCTTAAACTACATTACTCTATCAGAGTGGTGGAAGGTAATAAATGACCAGGCACTCAAAAACATTTAAATTGAGGCTCAGGAACAGCCGCATTTGGAGTTTGTATTTGTTGTTCTTGCCTAAAAAACACTTCTAAAATTGTTGTAACTGAGTGACTTTTCTTTGGAGGTTAATAAATTTAAAAACCATTCACTGATCTGTCCAAATACCCTTTTAATGCTTCTGTTCATTGGGAAAATTTAGTGTGCCACCTACTGCTCCAGAGTGACCAGAAATATATCTATTTCTTGGTGATCTGGGACAAGATCAGATGCCAAATGTACAAAGCTTCTTAATATCTGGGATTATATCTTCTGAAGTCATTCTATTTTAGCTAAATCTTTTAATTTCACCGGCAAATCTGTGAAACGAAATACGTGATGTTCAAAAAAAGAATAGTACATTTTAAAAACTGTAATTTTAAACAATTGTTAATGTTTAAAAAAAAGCACTAGAGATATTTTTTAAAATAGATCTCTTCCATCAAGATTCATTTGTTTCTGTTGTTATTGACGTGAATATCATCAAAGTTTCTAATAAAATGCATTTGTAAAGAAAATCACATTATTTTATAGAAAAGTATGACCAGATTTCATTGTTGGAGAGCCAGGAATGAACAAACAAAAGATTTACAAGTTTTTTTTTTAAAATCTGCCCAAATGAAAATGTTGCAGGTAAATACATTTGTATTAAATGATAATTGGTAATGTATGCAATAAGAATTTAAGCATTTGTTTTGTATAAAGTAAAATCCTTACAAAGTAAGAAGAAGACTATTATGTTAATAAAACATCATGAAAACACATGCTTTGCAGAGTTTCCTATTTTATTCAGTAGGAAACTGTGCAAAAAAAAAAACAAAAACATGTTTTGTTTTCTGTTGAATGAACCTGTGTACCACTGGAAGAAATACTAAGACTATTCTTTTACAGTTAACCAATGAAGAAGCAAACAAACAAAAAATCCTCCTAATGAGAATGCAAAGGCTTGCCATTCAGAGATAGTTTGCCTTTCAAAGTTCTCTGGTTCTGGTAGAAAGGAACTTCTCCTTAAGTAGTTTCCACACCTGTCAGTGGGTGGAAATAAAACGTGTGATGCTGAGTTCTTTTAAAGAATAATTTCAAAATAAGTTTAAGAGAGTAGGAGAATTGAGCTCCGTTTGTTTCAATTTCTCCGGAAATCCAGGCGGCAGAGTAGGAAAGGCAAAAGAAACATGAAACAGGAGCATTAAGTCCATCTGTCTCATTAATGCAATCCATGCATCTTAAATTGTGTCTTTTCCTCTGTCCAAGCACGGGGTCCCGCTTCTTCTGTCGGTCTAACAAATGATGTCCTCAAGATCCATCAACTAACTTCTGAATAGATAGTTGTTTAATGCGTGTTCTGAAATTGCTCTCAATTTCGATTATACTCATAAATAAACCGTAGGCACCTACTGCCGTGATTGTATTGATTTTTGCTTTCTTGTGATATTAAGACTACTTGGGTCCAGGTCCTACATGGGGACTCACCGGGAGAGGACAGAGCACTCTAAGCTGGGAAGACTCACTTGTCAGTCCTTCAGCCCTGGCCCTTGCTGCACAGACAGGGCCTCTCTTGGTCTCACCTGCATGAAACATCTTTCAGATTTGAGGGGCTTTCAGTGTCCCTAAAGTTGCAATTGGACTTTCTGATTCTGCCTAAAACCAGCGCTCTTCATCCCATTCTAAGGACTTTGGTGGCCAGAGGGATAATAAAGATGATGATTACGATTGTTATTGACATGGTTCTGTCATTGGTGTTATTGCAGCCGCAGTCTCAGCCCCACCGTGAGAACCACACAATCCTTGCCGGCTGTTTCAAAGGAGACCACAAGCTTAATTGATTTTTTTTTTTTTAAATAGCAGCCGAAATCTAATTCTCACGGGGACCTCTTTTCCACCTGCGAGATAAGCCTTGTCGCAATAATTACGTTATTTAATATTTGATCAAACCTTCACGCCACTACTGCTTCAAGTGCGGGGCTGACTCACAGGGCAGCTAGCGAGCCGCACGACCAGAGTCCAGCCGGGCACGTGCGGTGGGGACGCGCGGCCGCCTCACTAGGATTGGCTTGCCCTTTGAATAATTCATGGCCTGAGAGTTCTGGAAATTAATAAAATGAATGATAACAAGAAGCTAATTAAAAACTTTCGTAATTGTTGTCAAGTCAGCTTGATGGGAGACAGACAGCCCTCCCAGATTCCCTCGCTGAAAACTGGTGGATCCGTAGGGCGGGGCACTGGTCCGGACGTTAACTGCCAAGAGCTCCTCCGGAGTTATTTAGCAGGCGACTTCGCTAGGCTGCTTAGTCCTCAGCAGCTGCTGTCTGCAACTAAGTGGTCTCCCCCACATAACTTTTGGACTTCGGGGTGGTTGGGTTGGCCTGTACCGTTTTAAACCACAGGCAGAGCTGATTGGGTCGAATTTGCAGCCAGGAGGGGACCACCCATGCAAGGTTCTCGCTCTCCCACCGAAAAACCTACCCACCCGTGGGTCCCAGCGCCACCGTGTGCGCGGCTCTTGGGTCTGCGGCTAAGCCACTGTGGCGTGCCTTGTTTGCACCCCTCTGCCGCCTGTCGGGAAATTCGCAACCCAGTGGCTTCTT